AACATGTTATAACTACATATAAATAATTTTAAAATGCACATGTACACTTTTTTCAATGTTTTTTTTAATTGGATCGATGAAATTGGTTCTTTTGTTCCCATGTTAAAGACCATATCTTTTTCTAAAATTTTCCAAATTCATTTAAAAACAAACCTCTGATATTTCATACACCAGTAACAAATAATCAATTGAACATGTTATAACTACATATAAATAATTTTAAAATGCACATGTACACTTTTTTCAATGTTTTTTTTAATTGGATCGATGAAATTGGTTCTTTTGTTCCCATGTTAAAGACCATATCTTTTTCTAAAATTTTCCAAATTCATTTAAAAACAAACCTCTGATATTTCATACACCAATAACAAATAATCAATTAAACATGTTATAACTACATATAAATAATTTTAAAATGCACATGTACACTTTTTTCAATGTTTTTTTTAATTGGATCGATGAAATTGGTTCTTTTGTTCCCATGTTAAAGACCATATCTTTTTCTAAAATTTTCCAAATTCATTTAAAAACAAACCTCTGATATTTCATACACCAATAACAAATAATCAATTAAACATGTTATAACTACATATAAATAATTTTAAAATGCACATGTACACTTTTTTCAATGTTTTTTTTAATTGGATCGATGAAATTGGTTCTTTTGTTCCCATGTTAAAGACCATATCTTTTTCTAAAATTTTCCAAATTCATTTAAAAACAAACCTCTGATATTTCATACACCAGTAACAAATAATCAATTGAACATGTTATAACTACATATAAATAATTTTAAAATGCACATGTACCCTTTTTTCAATGTTTTTTTCCATTGGATCGATGAAATTGGTTCTGTTGTTCCCATGTTAAAGACTGCTGTTTTGACACAAATCCACGTCTTTTTGCTCAAATTTTCCAAATTCATTTAAAACAAACCTCTGAATTTACAAATGCATCAATTTAACAAATAGCTTTCTGCACACGTACTCAAATATCATACTAAAGAAAGAATGCCAACACAAATATTTGGGCAAAAACCAAAACAAAGTTCAACTTTTTTCACTGGTTTTTGGGTTTTTAAGTGGACCGATGAAATTAGCTCATGATCACATGTAAAAGACTGCTATTGTGAGATAAATCTACATCTTTGTCTCAAATTTTTCGAGATTAGGTAAAAAAACAAACCTCTGATATTTCATACATCAATAACAAATAATCAATTGAACATGTTATAACTACATATAAATAATGATTTTAAAATGCACATGTACCCTTTTGTCAATGTTTTTTTCTCATTGGATCGATGAAATTGGTTCTTTTGTTCCCATGTTAAAGACCAGATCTTTTTCTCAAATTTTCCAAATTCATTTAAAAACAAATCTCTGAAATAGTCAGTTTCAAATACATCAATTTCACAAATGTAACAATAGCTTTCTGCACACGTACCCAAATATCATACTAAAAAAAAGAATGCCAACACAAATATTTGCAATTGGGCGAATATTTTAAATTTATCAGTGGACCAATGACATAGGTTCTTTTGTTTCTATGTTGAAGACTGCTGTGGTGACACAAACCCACGTCTTTTTCTCTGTTTTTGCATCATACCCAAGTGCTACCAAGTTGAACAGAGAGAACAGAACAGAAAAGAAGAAATTGAAGAAAGGTGGACTAAGAACAAACATAATGATTATTAAACACAAGAGTGCCTCTGCTGTTCTCAAAACTAGACTGAATATTCCAAACCTTTGCGTTTGTTCCTCTGCAGAGCGATCCTGTACCAGACCCCAGTGTTATATGTTCTGTTGGATGTCAGCGTCAGTGCTCCAGAGCCCAGTTCAAAGGTCAAGCGAACTTTCCCCTCCACTAATTCGATCGAGAGAAAGTCTCTCTGAAACGCAGATTGAAGAGTTTTGACTTGCAAATAGTGATACTAAATATATTTCATCGATTGCATGTCTTCAAACTACATCTACATACTGCATTAGTGCTCTGTTTCACATTGGTTACTGAAGTGAATGTAAAAGCAAGAAAAAGGAAGAACCGTGCTGTCGATAATAAAGCGCTCACACAGATCATTTTCATATTAATAACAATATTGAGCTCTCACAGTGCCGTTGGATGCCAGGTAGAGCAAGAGGCCATTGGGAGAGAGAGTCTTGAAAAACATGACGATGCTGGTGGACATGGAGCGCAGAGATTTCTCCACCACCGAGAAACCACTGCCGTCAAAGTGGAACGAAGTTTCCTCTGTGCGTGGACTGGAAAATACAATACTGAGCCATTAACCAAGATAATGCATTAGCTTTAATGGCCCCCTTATGCAGTACATTCCTTAATTCCAAAAATGTATTCTATTATTTGTTTGAAATGATCTGATTGATTGAAACTAAATAATCACATATGGTTCTACATTTATCTGCAAGAAACCAAACATTTCCCATGTTTCAGTGGAAGGCAATGAAAGCAAGAGGACAAGAATTGTATAGACATCTTTCAGGGTTACTTGCAGCCGTGTAATGGATCACAAAACTTCAGATTTTGGATGTTGACCTATGGATCAATCGTTTTTGGATCAGCAAAATTTGCATAGCATAACATTTCTAATATTGTAGTGTCAATAGAGACAAAACAGAAAAGTCTCTCAGAAATAAATGTATTATAGTAATCAATGTGGTATTAGAAAAATACTAAAATGCAGTGCGGATGGCTTGACTGAGTGTTTGAAAATACCACAGCATAAGCAGAGTCACATACACAGTAATCTGCAAGTTCAACTGTTTACCGATCCATGGCACATGTGTCAAACTCTAAACTAACGCTAAACAAATTACACAGACACTCGCCATCTGCTGGCTTGCTGACGTACTGCAAGATGGTGCCTTAGCCACAGTGTTGTTGGTCCCGAAATAATTGATTTATTAAGGAGTAGTTACATTTATTTTACATTACATTCGATTACATTGTTTAACATTTACAAGTTACACCTGGCCCTTTGAGGACAGCCATTATGCTATTGTTGCCCTCTGTGAAAATGAGTTTGACACCCCTGCTCTAATGGGAAGCCATCCACAGGGATCAATCCATTACACCAGTAGCTAGAGTTAGTTTGTTCTGCAGCATTTATGCATTTAGCAGACAATTTTATCCAAAGCAGCTTACATTTCAAGGAAAGAGCACATTTCATAAGTCCTTGCTTTCCCTGGGGTTTGAAACTACAACCTTTGCGTTGCTAGCGTAATGCTCTCCTGACTGAGCCACAGGAAAGCAGTTTTTGTAGTTGGAATGAAAGGTGTGTTCACCTCATGAAGCAGCCTCCACACTCTCCTTGCCTCTCAGCGTAATTCCACAGGCCGATGTTATTTTCGTTGAGCGAAGCTTCACCCATGCATCCTTTGAAATGCGTCACTTTAACCGCGGACGGTTTCTGGAAAAAAATAAAATCAACGAATTCTGATGACAATACTGAGCATTAAGGTAACTGCTGTGACATTCTGAGTGATCAGGCCATAGACTGTTGCTAGCCGGAGTTCATGATGATCATGAAAAATTCCCATGGCATCGTTGGGATATTTGATTGATGAGTGACTAAGCTAACATCTGCTTGTTTACAGCTGTTGCTAAGCAAATCTTAGGAAGCTATTAAGAACTATTTGTATGTTTCCATAGTAACAGAACTTGACTATAGAGGAGAAATTGAGTCTAGTCCGGCAGACTCTGATAGGTGTCATACTTTTGAACAACTTAGACAGTGAAGGTCAAGGAGATGCCTATATATAGATCTGCTTATTTGGTTGCTAGGGTAAAACGCTTAGTTGCTATGGAAGACTCAGTGAAGTAAGTTTACGTTATTTTACTCATCATGTCACTATGAGCAAAAAAACAACAACCCTGATGTCTCTAAAACTGATAGAGTAAAAATTGGTTGCTATAGTAAACAGCCTGGTTGCTATGGAGGGATTAGTACCATAATAAAAAGTAGCCCAAGTAAATATGAGGAAAAAACAGCTAATATTTTATAGATATGCTAATTTAATTGTTATGGTAAACAATGTGGTTGTTACAGGGGTGTCAGTGACGTTGCTCAGTGTTCCCATTGTCACCGTAAGTAACATAAACCAACCCCCTGTCATTTACCAAATCTGAGATGGATCTCGGTAATTTGGTTGCTAGTGTAAACAGTTTGGTCGCTAGTCCAATTCTAGTTACAATGATAAACATAAACAAACCCCCATTTCTTTATGACGTTGCCTTTTTGTGCATGAATGTAACTGCTGTGATATTCTGAGTGATCAGGCCATCTCGATAGATGCTGGTCTGTTGCTAGCTGGAGTTGCTGATGGTCATGAAATATTTAGGCTGATCCCGGTGGTTCCCATGGCGTTGTAGAATTGTTAAGCCAGAAATGGGATATTTGGTTGATGCGTGAGGAAGCTAATTTTTAGTGGATGATGGACAGTTGCTATGTTAATTTTAGCAGTTGCAGTTCATTAAGAACTTGTTTCCATAGTAACAGAACTTCAATGCAGAGGAGAACGTGAGTTCTATAAAATCTGTTTTAATAAGGGGTTTCCCCTCATCTTTCTTTGTTTTAAAGCGTTTAAAAGGCTCAAACACACTTAAAAAAGAGCAACAAAACTGAACCCTTACCTTCACCTGCCCTCCTAAACCTCCAACAAACAGCCATGTGGATTTATTAACGTCCATGACGGCAGAGGAACCAGATGCTGTGGCTTTAACAGCAGGAAGTGGATCGGAGTCCATCTGCTGAATGCTCAGAGTGGCGTGTCTCCCAAACCTGCAAGCAGATATTCAAACTGATGTTAAAACCTCACAGAACAACACAATAATGTTTCCAGCGGTTGATATTAGGTTCTTATGACTAATTGTAGCAGGTTTGAAGTGTTTATATTAATATATATTGTGCTGTATTGTTCTACCGTGTGACGTTGATCCTGTGCCATTTGTCATTGTTGATCTGGACATTGGGATACTCCAGTCTAGTGTGTCCGGACCCAGTGTCCCACAGGAATGAAACCTTCCCCTCCAGCATTTCCAAAGCCATGAAATCCTCCTGAAGGGTAAAGAAGTGAATGAATGAAAAAGTTACTGAGGAAATGAATCTGGGAGATGTTAGAAATGTATATGGATTGACACGGCCAACCATCACCTCATCAACATCCAATATTTCAAACGAGCTGTTAAAAGCTGGACGGCTCCTACAGTAATACATGCTCGATAAAAAAAGCAACCATCAAGAGTTGCAAAGGTGTCACTGGTACTAAAAGCGGCTCAAAGTGTGGTAGTAGCAGCTAGTGAGATTGCCATGTGTGTATGACGTACGCTGGTGCTGCTGCCCATGTAGAAGAGCAGGTTGTCTGGATGGATGGTTTTCATGCTCAGGGTGAGAGTGTTAAAGTTGCTGGATTTCACCTCAGGCTTGTAAGCTCGCACACAGCCTCCATCTGCAGCCACTGCCACTTTGATCTGTTCAAGACATGACAAATACATTTTGTAATTCACTTTTAATGAACGGAACAATCAAAAAATGCACAAGATGAAATATCTTTATGCCAGGCTCTGTCTGAATACTGCATTCTGATTGGCTGGCCACTTATAATATCGATCCGTCTGTAACAATCGCAACTCACTGCTTTGGTTGAGAGTGAAACTTTTCCAGATTCACTGAACTATGATTACTGGATTATTTTTGCGTTTTTTTATAGACATGTATCACCATTTATAATGCAAAAGCCTGATTTGTGGAGCACAGCTTTTGGACTCTCTGTAAAGCAGGACTGAGAGACACAATTCAAGCACACGCAGTGAGCGACCCGTGCGGCTGATTTTGTCATTGTGTTGAAAAGTCTCTGAAAAAGTTTGCCACACACACCTTTAAACTCGAAGCGATAATTGTTCAGAAATTGGTGTGATTCTTAAATAAATAAACTCAATAGAACTCAAACCACCTAGAACACTATTTTTTTTGGTTAGTCACAGAGAATTTTGAATCTTCTTCTTCTACTTTCGGCTGTTCCTTCTATTTCTTTCAGCACATCCATATATCTCGTCTTTGGCCATCCTCTTGACCTCTTGCCTGGCATCTCCATCTCCAACATCCTTCTACCAGTATAACCACTATCCCTCCTCTGCACATGTCCAAACCATCTCAATCAGGCCTCTCTGACTTTGTCTCCAAAACAACCAACCTGAGCTGTCCCTCTGATGTGCTCGTTCCTAATCTTGTCCATCCTCGTCACTCCTAAACTGAACCTCAACATCCTCATCTCTGCTACTTCCAGCTCTGCCTCTTGTCTCTTCTTTACTGCCACAGTCTCCAACCCATACATCATAGCTGGTCTCACTACTGTTCTGTACACCTTTCCTTTGATTCTTGCTGACACTCTTCTGTCACACAACACCCCTGACACTTTTCTCCATCCACTCCAACCTGCCTGCACTCGTCTCTTCACCTCTTTTCCACACTCCCCGTCACACTGGCCTATTGACCCCAAATACCTAAACCCCTGCACCTTTTTGACCTCAGCCCCCTGTAACGTCACTGTTCTATTTCCCTCCCTCTCGTTCAAACACATGTTTTCTGTCTTACTGCGACTGACTTTCATTCCTCTTCTTTCTAGAGCTGACCTCCAACTTTCCAGGTGTTCCTCCACCTGCTCTCTGCTCTCACTACAGATCACAATGTCATCTGCAAACACCATTGTATATATATATTAGGGGTGTAACGGTTCACGGTATGTATTGAACCGTTTTGGTACGGCCTGTTCGGTTCGGTACACTTGCGTACCGTTTCGGTATTTTTATTAAATGATATAAATCTATTATTAGCGCGATATTAAGCGCAGCGGAATCAATGTTCCAATGTTCCGCACGGACGCTATTGAGTGACGAGCACGAGAAAGAAAATGGCATCATGGCAAAAGCGAAAGAGTGAAATCACCCAAATGTGTCACTTTTATTTATTTTATGCAAAAATTCTATTGTGTATTGGCAGGTTTTCAATATAAAGATTATGTAAGTTCTTATTGTTTTGTAGCGAATGAACCGAACCGAACTCTCCAAGACACTGTACCGAACCGAATACGATTTTAGCGTACCGTTACACCCCTAATATATATATTTGCAGATATTTCACCTATTTCACCAGTAAGAAGGTAGTTTTTAACAAGCGAGCTTGATTTTAACAAAGAGAATTATATTTACAAAAGGAGACAATTGCACTCAAAAATTGTAGAGAAGCCGAGGTCTAACCACAGGAATAAATGTGAAACCAAATGGATTGCAATGCTCATTCATTCATTCATTCATTCATTCATTCATTCATTCATCTTCTTTCCCGCTTGTTCCCTCAGCTCACATTGGGCAAGAAGCACCCTGGTGAGAGGTACACCCTGGACAGGTCGCCAGTCCATCGCAGGGCAACATTCACTCATACATTCACTCCTAAGGGGAATTTAGATTCTTCAATTAACCCAACCGCATGTTTTCGGGATTGTGGAAGAAAACGGTGTATGCAACTCCTTCTAGTATGGTCCTCAAATTGCCACTGAAAGGTCATTATGGTACGCACTGCACCACTGTGTCAACCTCAATGTTACGTTCTTCTAATCTTAATGCACAATTTATGCCATTTTTACATGAAAAAATCTATTAACAAATTTTGTTTCAAGCTAAACAGACCTTTTGAAGTCGCTTGTGTTATGTGTGTTGCTGAGCGGCACACAACACTGTTACTCTCTCTTCCTTCCTCAACCATTCTCAGATCGCACACTCTAATAAACATTTCATTATAAAAAACGGAGGCAGCCATAGCAACCATTTACAAAATTACATTTAGAGAATTTAACACTTCCTTAATTTGCTTCTAATTGCTCCAATATCTGCATTTTTTTACTTTCTCTTGCTCAACTATTTTCGTATTACAAGAGCATTGGAGAAGGAAGCCAGGTAACTGTGCAAGTATAGACTATAGACACTGTGAAATGATCTCAAGCATTACAGATATGTTGGGACATCATAAAATAAAAGCCAAAAGAATGTAAAATCTGAAATCCAAACTCTGTTTCCTGGAAAAAAAACCTGAGATTAATTATTAGATCACCTTAATAAAAAGTAGCACAAAGTGCTGAACAAATGCTCACAGGCACAAAATCCATAGAAATACTCACATTTTACAATACAATAAAAAAAATAGAATTACAAAAAAACCAACAACAAACAAATAGGGGAAGTCGAATGGGGTCAGACT